CGCTCCCGTGCCCGCCGCCGGGCAGGGCGCCCCCGGCCACAGCTCCAGCCCGCCAGCTCCGCGTCCGCGCGGGCGGCGCCTCCTCTGCAGGTAAGGGCGAGGTCCCCGCGCTGCCGCAAAGTTTCGGGAAGCCCCGGGTCCCCCACGCCCAGGCCTGCGCCTCCCGCAGCTGCAGGCTGCCTGCAGCCTGGCTTCCTCCGCGCCGCCCTCCACGCTGCGCTCCGGCTGCACCGCCGTTCCCCGGTCCCCCGCGTCCGCCTCGCGTCCTCGTGTCCCTACTCCTCGCTCCGGACCGACAACAGTTAACTCTTCCCACCCGATCCGAGTGTGCCTCAAGTTTCCGAGGTCTGCGTGGTGTAGCTCGTGAAAGGAGCGGCTAGCGGGCGGGCAAACCTGAGTTCAGGTGCGGCCGCCACCAGCGCCAACTTTCTCGGAGTGACCTCAGGTGAGCCCTGCCTGCCGGGTCCCCGTGGCCACAGCTGGCCTGGAGAGGGCGGGGTACGCCCCGGGGGCATCAGAGCCATGCCTGTGTTGCCGTATTGTGAATTGAGGGACACCCATATTGTCTCTATTCCGGGGTTCGTGAGCAGTAGAGGAGTGCCGGGGCGGGGGGCGGTGTCTCAACGTTAATCTCCAGCAGCCTTGCTGAACTATGGGAGGGGTGTGGAGGCAGCCTCTGGGAGTGGAGCAGCGCCCAGGACTCGGTCCTTGGCTCCTTGGCCATCCAGGCTGTGTGTGACCTTGGGCAAGCCCCCCACTGGTTTTACCACCTTTTACAGGGCAGAAGTGCTGTTCACTGGATGTTCTTAAAGGTCCTTCAGCTGTGAGCCCTAGAGAAGAGTCTCTGGGTCAGTTTGGCTGGAGGCATTAATTGATCAAGAATCCATCCTGCACTTAGAAACGGGTGTTTGGAAAATAGAGGAAGCATTTGCAGTTTGCTTTGGGAGTCTCAAAATAGACAGGGCAAGGATTGGTGAATGCACGCCTTGCCTCCTTCGGTGCTTTGGACCGTCATAAAATATTCAACGGCATAATGATTTGTTTTCAAAGTAGCTCATAGATCAGGAAATGTTTCTGTTTGTGAGGCGGTTATTTTTGCAAAACCTTCAAAAAAAAATTGAGGGAGGAAGATAATGCACTGTTGTAGGGGTCCTGACAGGCTAGCGGCCACTGATTAACAGCTTAAAGTGATGGTTGTGATGCTTTTCAATCCAAAACATTTAGAATCACTCTCAATCAGGCATCCCCTGGTGGGTGTTGCATATACACTGACAAGGCCCACAGTTCAGCGAGAACCTGTTTTCTGGGACAGGTGAATTCTGGTGCAGCCACAGTAAAACTGAGCATGAGCTACTTAATTGTGACATGGTGGAAGGTGAGGTTTGTTCTTTTGCCCAATCTCTTGTTCATCTTGTGTTGCAATTAGTGTCTCCCCAGTGTGTGGCTGAAATGCATTACTAAGAAAAGATTCTCATGGAAGCGATTTTATTACTTTATTTCCTTCCTAGACATCCTGGTTTTAAGTTTCAAACTTTATGAAGTCAGAGGCCAAGGAATATGTTTTGTGACCCGAGTGGAGCTGTACATAAGTTTGCCTTTCCCAAGTGATCCTCTGAATTTGAGGCTAATTTGTCTAGAGGCTTTTACCTCCTGGATGCATTCAGGTGCAAGCCTGACTTTCCTTTCTTCATTCTCCAGTGGTTCTGCAAGCACTTTCTCACTACTCACTCAGGAAGAAGCAAAGAGGAAAATTACTGATAGGCTCTTCCCACTGTAAAGATCTCAGGTTCTCGTGAGGAATACAGAATTGTACCACAGGAGGACAATTAATTTGAGCTGCAGAGTTAGGGAAGCCAACACACTAGAAGGTAGAGTGCCGAAGAGCATTTCAACAGGTGGAAAGGAGGGGGAAATCATTTTCAAGTCAAGGAACTGGGATGAGCACAGGGCCTGAGCTAGGGAAGCTCAGGGTGCAGGAGAGAGCAGGGAGTCTGGTGGAAGCCCAAAGCAGGCAGAGCCTCCAAGAGCAGAGGACGATGGGAAGGGCTTCAGTCTTCATTTGCTGTAGGATTTGGAGCCTCTGAAGCTCCCTCATCTGTCAAAGGAGAATAAAGATAATTGCCAAGAAGATTCAATGAGATCATATGTGAAAGTACCCAACACAGTGTTTGTAGGTAATAGTGTTTTGGTCAAAATTGGTTTCTTGTTTAGTGTGTTTGTAAGCAAGCTCAGAATGCTGCCGGGCACTATTGGAATTTGAAAATGCTGCCTTTTGTCTTAGCTTGTTCATGGACTGAGAACCTCTCCAGCAGGGTGGAGCCTCTGTGACAAGGCCGTGTGTTCCCAAGGAACCTTCCGATCCCAGAGGCAGGCACTTCTTGTTATCTGGAGGGTGCTTAGATCAGATACTGACATCAACAGCTGCCAGTGTCCTGCAAATGCTCTAAAGTAATGGAGGCTACAGATGGGTTCATCAGAAGATAGAATCCCTGCCTCCCACAGCATATCACTATGTGCTCAAGGACCCAGGCAGGAGGATTTGACAGTCAGTTACAAATCTATCAGCTTCGACCATGTCTGCTGGGAGCTGGGCCCTGACTCCCTTCTGTGGTAGTGTAGGATGCTGAGCATATACGGTGGTTAAAGAAGAGTGGGACAACAGTGAAGACTAGCACAGCATAGCACAGTGCAGCATCCGTGGCAGACCTCCCTGGTTCATTGTGGAATATGTGGAACAAAAGGCAAAATCTCTGCCTTCCTGAAGTTTATATTATGGTTAGAGAAACATAATAAACAAGCTAAATACCTAAGTAAGGTCATCGCAGGTTGTGCTGGGAAGGAAACACACAGGGCAATACGAAAGAAAGTGATAGGCATGAGGCCTAGTAGGGACAGATAGGGAAGGCTTCTCTGGATTCCCGAGGGCTACAGGAGAGGAGGAGCTGGAGTTTCCTGGGAGGGAATGCAGAGTGCAGGCTCTACTGCCTGGATTTGCATACTAGCCCCTCCTCTGTCTGTGGGCCACCTTTCGCTTATCTTCTCTTTGGGGATTCTTGAGAGGGTTGTTGTGAGAACTAAAGTCTAGGTACATGTAAAGTACTTAGCAGAGTGTCAGATATATGTTAAGCACCAGATAAAAGGGAAGAGGAACTGTTTCATGTAAAGGGAACAGCAAATACCAAGGCCTGGGGGTCTTAGTGTGTTTTAGGACAAGACAGGATATCTGCACAGAGAGAGCATCCTCACAGTTACTGTGGAGACGCAGGAGTAGGCTTTCTGCCCCTTCAGTGGAGAACATTTCAGGATTGCTGGAGAAAGGACACCTGGTCCTTGCAGCATCAGACCCAGAGAGGTGTGCTTTAGGCATTGCATGGTCAATTGAGTCTTCTTCAGTGTCTCTTGGTCCTTCCTCTCTCCTGTGCTCTCCCTCTCTCTTGCCCCCTTCCTTTCCTCTTAACACCCATCCTCCCTCCCCAGTTCTCTTCCCTTCTTTCACTGCAAGCCTCACAGAGTAGTGCCCCTTAGTTGGTCACTGATATGTGAAGGGAAAGCTTAAGTGGGGTTGAGCCCCTGGCACCAACAGCCTTGGTACCAAATCAATGACCCTGCCTCTTGGCCATAAGATACCCATGGTCATTACTTGTCCTCTCCCTCCCAGGCTGGAGACTCTACAGCAGAGAAGGATAGACATCTATGACCTTGAGGATAATCATCTATGACCTTGCCCTCTTGATTGCTTCCTTTTTATTGTGGTCACTGGCCACCAAGCTCTGTCATTTTACTTCCAAAGTCTCTCAGACATATTCCTATCTTTTCATTCTCTCTCTAAGTATCAGACTTCTGTCATCTCTCCCTAACTCATGGCTGTGATCACATCATGTCCCTGCCCAGAAACCTTCAGTAGGTCCTGTGTTGGAAGTCCAGAGTCCTCAGTCTGAGACATGACAGATCCCTTCCTTCACCCCATTCTCTGCTCTTAGTCCTTCATTCCCCACCCTCATGTCCCTAGGCATTTGGCCTCTGCCTAGTATGTGCCTAACCCTTAATGGTCTTGGCTATACCCAAAGACCAAGCTCAAGTCTCCCTCCCCTAGGAAACTGTCTTTCCAGTAACCTTGTCCCAGGGTTTTCATCAACCCCTGACCTCCCACTGTCCTTGGTACTGCTCTTGGAGAAGCCAATGCTGTCAGGCTTAAAAGATTGTGTATGTGGCCACTTGTGTATGTGGCTGCAACCCACACAAAGCCTCCAGAATGGCAGGTGCAGTACCCCACTTCTCACACCCCTCCTCCTTTTCATAGAGCCTAGAGCTGGCTTCATCCAGCTTTTACTGTTCTAGATTGACAAAAGCCTGTGATTTTCCCTGAAATCAGAAGTGGTTTGAGTCGAGCCAGAAGCATGACGCTGCTGCATAAGGATTTCATGTGATCCTCGGCTGAACTCACTGGTACCAGCCTCATAGCTCCATGCTAGGAGATATGAACCTTTAAACATCAGACAATAATACTATAAAAAGTATCTTAAGAATTATTCATTTATTGTTGGGAGGAACGTACATGTGCCACAGCATGTGTGTCTGTCAGAGGACAATATGTAGAATCAGTTTTCTCTTTCTTCCAGAAGTAGAGTTCCAGGGATCGAACTCAGGTTGGCAGACATGTGCAGCAAGAGCCTTTACCCTCTGAACCATCTCACCAGTCCATAAAAAGCTTTCTTTACTATGCCAAAAGGTCTAACATGGAAGCTTTCAAATACTAAACATGCCCATGTGCTTAATGCCATTCACTATATAAAAGTTTTGCTACCTGTGTGCTGTTGTGTGTTTGCTATACTCTAATAACACAGTGAACTTAATAGATGCTCACAGAAGCAGAAGCAACACTGGCTTAAGTTTGTTTTGCTAAGTATAGATTACATTTGCAGCTCTGCAAATATGAGGGCTTGTTTTGCTTTGTTTTTAGGTTAACTATCTGCCTGGAGGATGGTGGGAAGCCTGGCTTGGTGCTTTGCCAACTGATGTGAAGCCATGGCCATTATTTTCACTGATGTGACACTGTCTTCTCAGGGACTCATGTTTGGAGACCTTTTTTTCTGGTGGCTAAAAATGGGTCAGGCTTTCTAATCATTTCCTAAGCCAGCTGCTGAATGATGTGTACCCTTAACACTGGTTCTTTTGGAGAAAAAGACACACACACACACACACACACACTCACACACACACTCACACACACACACTCACACACTCTGCAGTCTAGAAAAGAGATGGTGGCAAATCTAAAAGTAAAGTATATTTTTTGACCTCTTGAGGCATGATCTGAGAACATCAGCAGCTTCAATAAAAGGGTGACATGGCAAGTTTTCAAAATCTTGAACGGAAAGAGTCAGAGGAATTCATCCGGATGCAGCAGCACTCCGTTCTCCCTGAGACTTTGACTTAAGAGAAGAC